AACTGGCGGCTCTTGGTCCTCTTCCCCACCTTTGGTGCGTTTGGCTGTGACAAAACCAGCGGCCCAGATTTCGACCACTTCGAGCCTTCGAAGCGTGCCCTAAAGGAGCCTTGCCGCATGGTTGTTGCGTGTCCTAGGAGGAGCCAGAGCCAGAACCCCTTCATTACCCATGATCAATCCCAGGATGAACTCTCCGAAGAGGTTTTGGCTGTGGCTCTCACGTGGAGTACTTATTGGCAACATGAGCAATTTACGTGCACGCCGGGCAGGATAGGGTCTATGCTGAATGTGCTCGCCTGCATCCCGAGATAGCTTTGCGCTCAGCAAGTTGGAACTTCGACTTTGGCAGTTTGACTTTTGAGGGCCTGAACCAGAATATGGGTGTGGCTCAATATTAAAGTCCTAGGGTTACGCAGGTTTTGGTATTAGTCTCCATTTAGCGAGTTGCCGTTGTTGTCCTTTTTTTTTACCCACAGCCATATTAGCCGCGGTGAAAATGCACGAAGACCGCTTTAGTCAGGGGGTGCACTTTGGCCGAAAACATATCGAAGTCTGGAGCCCGGACTCTACGCAAGCTTCACTGTGAAATCAGCGAAGCCAACTTCAAGTTTGGATTGCTTTCGACAATTGTGTGCAAGTTTGAACCTGCCAAATTTCATAGCCTGCTTAGTCTTCCGTAACATGCGGTTAAGTGTTGATTGGGGGTACAAAGGGGCAAATGGAAGCACAAGGGCAGCAAGAAACATCTACGCACTGAATCATTTGCACGCGTTTCTTGTGTGCTGTTCTTTTTGGGGTTCTTGATGGTGCTGAGTGTGTTGGTTGTGCTGTTGTGTCAGGCTTGCAAGCCATCCACCAGTTGCCCGCGACAAGCCAAATTCCCTTCCCCGCAAGTCAGGCTTTATACCTTTCTGAGCCTTGCATGTACAGATGTCCAAGTTGCCTTGACTTCCACATGATAGACTCTACACAACCAAGTTGGCGCTGGAAATCTTACACCGTTGAGTTTGTTTCAGTGCCGGCGGACTCGAGCGCAGCGTTTCGGCGCCCACGGAACACTCAGAACGCTCAGAACGCGAACGCCAGGTGGCGCGGGATAAGGAATGGCTCTCGGCGCGAGGCTTCCTGCCACAAGGCTCGTGGGTGGGCATATGGGTGAAGTCAGGGTTCCACTTTTTGACTACTCCAAGATAGACTTAAACCCAGGGGTTCTCATTTTGGGGGCAATGAACCACCCCTGGGTTTAAGTCTATCTTGGGGTAGTCAAAAAGTGGAACCCTGAGTGAAGTGGTTTGGGCGGTTCTGATGGTCCCAGGTAAAGGATCTTTACCCCCAATGGCATGGGAGCCAGAGAGAGATCATTGCCACACAGCCCCACGAGTGCTTCATATGGAACCAGGTGCTGAAGTGCCAGAGATAGGTGCACTTTGTATTACACCTGCCACCCATCGTCATATAGTGGTGACCAACTGCGTAGTAGTGGGTAACTTCTGGCTAGTGGAGTGCTCAAGCTAATATGAGTTTGGCCTTCCCGTGGAAGCAACCTTTCATGCACACTTGTGGCCTTCACCAAAGCGTTTGGATGCAGTTTCAGCCCCACTTAATGGCTTGGATTGGTGGCTTGATGCTACAACGTTAGAGTCTTAGACTGTGTCCTGCTTCGTGATGAAGAATGCACTGCCAGATGTGAGGGTGCAAGAAGCTAGAATTGAGCCACGCGTCGCTGCTAGAGAATTCCCCAGATGTTTCCAAGGTCGGGAAGCTTTAAACCCTGGAAATTGGGTCCCACGAAATCCATGGAGGTTTGAAATGTGTCAGATTGGGGATGGCCTTTGAGAAATTCAAGCCATCGTGGATTTCAGTCTGTTAGATGCAAGTGAAAGGTTCAGTCATTCAAAATTCATAGAATCGGTGGCGAGTTTGCGATCATGAGATACATGGGACCTTGCAAGTTCTCAGCAGGGAATGAGGGAATGACCCCCTACAACCTATCCCCTATGGTTCTCACCCTGGGTCATTCCCTACCTATCGCACCAGCAAGGTAGGGCCATGGGAATGTGTGGCTAGGGAAGCAAGTGGTGACTCCTTTGAACGACCCAGCAGGTGTCCTCGGGCTTCACGCCATCCACAAGCCTCCCCAAACTGGCCTATAGCACTATGGTCCCCTTCCAATTCTCCCTTTGACTCACAACTGAAATGGGGGTTTACCATTTTGGAGAGCCTCCCACTCCGCATCTTCGGGGCCATAGGAACTGCACCGCTGGGTCCTCCACCGTCTCGGGCGCCAAGGTGGGGTTGCGTGTCCGTTGGCGTCGTTTCCGACCCTTTACCGGGCCAAAGCGGGTGTGAACCTCCTGTTGGTTTTGGTCGTAGCTGGACCTGCTGCAACTGGACGGAAGGGGAATCCCGCCAGGGTTAGTTGCAGCGCCGCATGAACACAAAAGCCCACTCGCAGTGAAATCTGAGTTGAGTATGGAAGAGTGGTGACACTTACAGACATGATGATTAAAAAGGACACCCGATCTTTGGATATGGAAGTGTGGCATCGGTCATGGCCCCATGATACAGTGCGCCACAGCATGACGGGCGTCTTTGGTTGATAAAGCAGCACGCTGAATAGAGCAGTGTTTCAGGAGTTGCCAGGTACTGGCGCACGCGTATCAATTCAAAGTGTGAGATGTACTTAATGTTCTTCTCAATGTGTTTATGTCTGGGCCTGTGAACAAGCAAGCTTCTTGAAGGTGGAAAGGAGCCACAGCAATTCGCCACCTGGCTCGCTCATCTTGGATCAGCTGATGCGATTGCTAGGCCACCAACAGTGGCTGTGGCCTCAGATGCTCGAATGGCTACGTCTTTTGTTATGGTGAACACTTTCCAAGAGGCTTGGATATTTTCATGCCAAGGGTACCCAATTCGAATTTCCGACATATGGCAGGCTACAGGCGAATCCTCGAAAGACTCCATGCATGACCACTTTGGCCCACTTACACACAGTTGGAAGTGCGAACAAAAAGACAGATACATGGGACACTATGGGCCTTGTGCATTCTATGGCAATCTGTAGATGCATATACCTGGAGAGATGCTTGCCAAGGTCACAAGCATTTGATCTGAGTGGTCCAGCGGAATTGTCCTACAAAGTTGTGCGGCCCGCTGCAAGTCTCTAGTTGTCAGTCTTGCATCTTTGTTTTGGCCAGCCTTGAATTCAAGCTGCGGGACTCACTTGTCAGTGCTGGCCATGAATTCAGATGCTCTCCCTCGCTAGGGCAGCTCGAGCCGCGCTTCGCAGTCATTACTTTGGCAAAGGTCCAGCGCAAGGCTTTGAGAAGGATCGAACTTGGCCCACGTGAAGTTCCCACGGCCGTGGATCCTTCCCAAAGTCCTTCGGCCACGTGCAGATACAGAACGCATTGTGCCCTGGACGCCGGATATTGACGGGAGTGACCAGCCTTGATCTCTCAGCCAAAAAAATGTAGTTCATTTCTGCTTGGTGCATCTTGCTTGGATGTTAGGACTTTAACTTTTTGCCAACTGATGGGTGTTCCATTATTAAACCACTAAAAGTTAAACTTTTAGCAGGGGAGCAGAAAGCAACGGAGTCTGGGTATCAAGCATTGCATGGAAAGGCTGGAAGATCAAGGCTCCAGAGGCCTCCCGAGCCCCGTTCAAAACTGCACGGAGCTCAGCACTCAGCAGCTGAGGGCTGAGGGCCGTGAAGGGGATTGGAGGTAAGACACGGAGGCACCAACTCGGTTGTTTTACAAAAAAGCAGCCGGTTTGCCTTAACACGTTTTCTTGCTTGACAGACCCCCTTGCTTCATGGAGATTACAGCCCAGGCTTTAAGAAAGCATGATCTTCGAGCCTTGGTATTTTGCTTTTGTATATTTGTTTGGTAGAACTGCGCTGTGGTGCTGGTTTGAGCTGCCCTTTCAGGACAGTGAAGCACCCAGACATTCACTTGGGAACGCAAGGATTTGGAGCAAGATGTGAACATATTTTTCCGTTTCTGAAGTCAATGATATATCATAGCGCTATTATGGTGGAGTGGTAGAACAGTTGTCAGGATTTGCATAGTCTGCCATGTTCACACCATGATGCCCAGTGCATTTGCAGGCCGTTGCACTGATTGATGCTTTAATCGATCGGCTACTTCCAAGCGGAAGAATTCCATCTCCCCTGCAAATGTAGGCAGCGACTCGGGGATGCTTGCCACACCCTGGGAACTGCCCGGGGTGAGCTCCTGACAGCAGGCAAAGTTCCTCGAGCGTAGCAACTTTCACTGCTCTGCGGCCCGATAGAAGTTCCTCGCGCGATTCGGAGAGTGCTGCTCAGAAAGCAGCACAGCTCTGTGCGATGCGGTGGCGTGAATTAGGTTGCATCCGCGCGATGCGACCTCAACTTGAATGTACTTGAATTAATGGCGGCTTGGACTTGTAGAAGGAATTATGATGAGTCACAGACCATGTCAGATGTGCTCCGCTTGCAAGTGGGCAAACCACTTCCTTGATGTTTGGTCATGGTGCAATCGTCAGCCGTCTGAGTCCCATCGCCAATGCAAGTTTTGCTGAAAAAGAGCCTGCAGTGCTATCTCCCCGAGCAATGAGGACAAATTTGAATGCGTTGGCCCCATCAAGAAGACATCGGCCTTGGCCCTCCTAAGACCTGGGCGTGGCTTAAAACTAAAGGAGCCAGGGTTCTGCAGGTGATGGTCTTTGCTTCCCTCTAGCAAGGTACCTTTCTACACTCAAAAGCATCCACAATTGATTCGATGGACGGCCACCTTTTTTCTGAGCCGCTGGGAATTGGGGGCTAGCAGACATTTCAGGGACGCGGCGTGAGTTTGGCGTTTTGAACCCAGACAACTGCAGGTTTTGGGCACCTTCCACGACTTGGGCACTCGATGAAGCCTTTTGTTTGGGAAAGGGGCCCGCAATTTTTGCGGCTTTCCCTCTTCGGATTCTTGGGGATGCAAGGACGAGGAGACTCGCCGGACTCGCAGGTGTTTGGACGTGCGCTGGTGGGCTGCCCCTTGTCGGCGTGGAGGCCCAGACTGCCCCGCTGACCGTTTCTCACTTGGGAACCTGATTCGGCTTTGACACAGGGCAGCGCTCGACAAAATTAGGATGTTTGGTCACCTTGCTCATTTCATGGCATTCATGATACTGACATGTTGTATGTGGCTCTTTTCTAGTCAGGGCTAGGGCGGTTTATGCAAGTTTATTTTGGGTGCCTGTTGCCGCAGTAGTTTTTTCATCAAGATGAGAGCATCGCGACCAAACGATATGATTGGTAGGGTTTGTTTGCAACGGGCCCTTTCGGAAAGGGAGCGCACAAAGAGGCGGCATGTGCTTGCAGTTCACGTGTGCCGTTCTCGTCGCCTGTGTCCCGTGTCGCGTTCCGTGTCGTTGGGCGCCGCTGGTGTCGCTGCGCCGCTGTGGACAAAGTTCTCATGTCAAATTCCCGGGCTTGAGGTCCCATCCCCACTTCGAGTTGCATTCTGTGGCTCTTGAGATCGCACAGTTGACTGGCTGGAGCCACGATGTGTGGTTCACTTGAGCAAGCTGTGCCGAAGCGAAGAAGGGTGGCGCAAGCGACCCAGCCGCAGATCACATTGGTGGAGCAGGGTTGCCTCGTGGTCGTTTGCTGTGAGCGCCAGGACATAGTGCTTATACTTGTAGTTCTGGCCTTTGTTGAATTCGGTCTCTGGCCTTCTGTTAAATTGGCAGCATGGACATGCGAAAGCCTCAATGCGGGACAAGCGCAGTGAAGAGCAAGCTGAGTGTGCGATATGGCGAGTTGTTTGTACTTTCTAAGTGCGAACGTACGAGGCAAGGCCAGTAATTACTGGCAAGCAGAGCCCAGCATTTCCCGTGCCGAGGCAATTCTTCGATGTGAATTTTGTGACCCTGCGTCCTTCACGTGCTCCTCTTAGCTTGTGGGAAATGGGCAGCTTGGTTGCTAGAGGGCTGCACCAGAACACCCTTCATACCAAAGGTGAATGTGCATTGCATGCCCCAAACCTCTGAGAGCTAGCTACTCTCCGGCAACACTGCCAGTTTGCCTCTGTACAGGGGCTCAAATCAGGTTCACAGAAACATTCTGCCATGAATTCCATGGACTGAACCAAGTAAATGGAAAGCAGTGAGTCAACCAACCCCCTCTCGCTCACCACCGAAGTCATCTGAGGCTTCGCTGGCTCACCCAGGCGGGTACGTGCCTTTTGGGACGTCCAAAGACGGGAAACTCAGAGGAAGCCCTGGCCAGTTTGGGGCTGGCCCAATTTGGAGAATCACACCGACAATAGAATTTTATGAATACGGTGGCCGTTCCCCTCCAAAAGTGTTGCTTCCCCACTCAATCCAGGGACACCCCCATATTTTGTTTTAAAAAACACAAGAAACAACTGGGGCTTATTGTACATTTTGGGGTCAACCCATACCCAATTTGGGGGATCCCTATTGGGTTGCCCGTGTCTTTTTCTGGTCGAAGGGTAACGACCCGCCAGGTCTCCGCCGGGGTGGCCGGCAGTGTGGAGCTTGGCCAAGGCAACACGCTGTGGGTACCAGAGGCCCGGGAGGACCAAGAGCAGCGGGTCAAAAATCTGTGGCTCCAAATTCAAGACCTCGGGTCACGTTTTCGTCGGCTTTTCGTCCGCTTCTCCTTTTACCGGGGTTTTTTGTTTTGAGCGGCAAGCCTGGTAAATGGAAACATGGATGAGACCTGTGGTCCCATGGTGGTTTAATTTTGATCCTCAGACAAATGTGCGCCTTGAAGATGCCTTTAGTTGTGGGTAGAGGATTGTACCGCGTGATCATGCCTGGTGAGTATCCTTTACAGGTTCTGGGGTCGAGGATTTGAGTACCAGGTTTTGATTACGACTCATGACTCATGTAAAAAAAACATCACTCGGAGTTTGTCGCGCGGATGGCGGAGCCTCGATGGGCGAGCCTGCGACCGGGAGGCTTCGAAGGGCCGTACGTTGAGCATAGAGGCAGAGCCCGATCCCAGCATACCTCTCACAGCGTCAGGCCCTGAGCACATGGGACTCACGGACTCACCGGGATTTGTCGTGCACTCGTTTTATTCACTCCTTGAAACGAAGAAGATTACTCAAACGGCTCGGTTTTTTTTTGGCAGCTTCTCGGCCCAGGCGCTCCAAAGGAGGATTGAGGATTGGCATTGTGGAGGAGGCTGCTGGCGGCACTACTCCCGTCTGCACTTGCAGGGATGGCAGCTTTGCATCGACTGGTTGCTTTTGCCGGCAAATGACCTCGTGGCTCCACAGCATTAGCACAGGAACCATGTCCCAATTCCGAGAGAGGCGTACCCTCCAGGAGCAAGACAACCAATGGGAATGGCAAATGCTGCTTTCACCAGGTTTTGCACATCAGCCCGACAAAAAGCAATTGTGCCTCCCGATAGACTTGGATCATTCACTCACTTGCCCTATGGTTGGCCAGAGAGGCAGGGGACGATGCAATGCCTCGGGATGGAAAAAGCTGCCGAAATGGGCATGGTTGTCTTTTGGCTCCCCTTTGCAACCCCGAGAAGGCTGCAGAAAAGACGTGCCATGGCTGGAAAAGGAAGCGGTCCTGAGAATATTTATCAACGAACCCTATGACCTTTCTCGCTCGAGTTTCGCGCAACAGGACAGCTGTTGAGTTCCATTTTTGGCAGGACATGTCGCCAAGAGCTTCTCTCAGGACGAGTACCTCTGTGGTTGTCTCTTCTATAAAAGAGTAATGGCGTAGAGGATAAGTATAGCCCTTTCAATGTTTGTTTGGCATACCTGCCATGATCACGATTTGGTGGCTTTCTTTGGGAGAGGTCCACTCGATTGCACAGAAGCGTCTTCAGTTTGGCCTTTGGGATTCAGACTGCCAACGAAGCTCCTGATAGGAGCTGACCGTTCCTGGAATTTCGCCCAAGACGCCGGCAACGTCGAAGAGCACGAATGTCTCCACTCCTCTATCCATCGGCCACTCAGCTGGAGTCGGGCCTGTGCTTTCTCTTACAACAGCTTGTTGCCCATGACAAGGAAAGAATGGCTTTTGCTACAGGGTTGTTTGCTTTGTGTGCTCCTGTGGGAAATATAGCAAGTCCTCGTTTTGCTCACCTCAAGATTTCGAGGTTGCTGTGAGTCGTTTGGAAGATCAGAAGAAGAGATCACATTGTCGAGTGACCTTTGCCAGGTGAGCTTTTGAGCTTTATGCTGCCGGACAGCGCCAGCGAGTCGAGTGCTAGTGGATCGGATGAGGCGCGATTGGGGCGAAGGAACAAGTTCGCAAGGCAAGTTTCAGCGTACCAGGCATCCAGTCCTAAGGATAATGCAGAACACATTTTGATTTCAAGGCAATGTCGGAGGTCTGGCAGGTAGCGAGTCTGTCAGCTGAACAAAAACGGATGGGCAAAAACCATGCAGTCTCTGGGTAAGCATCCCGTTTCACCATCAGAAGGCGTTGCCAGAGCTGACCATCCCATGCTTTGCCCACCCATGTCGGCGCCCTGAGGACCCCGAGACACCCAAGCCCCGCGAGATCGTCGCACGGCAAGAGGTGAAGCAGGAGCCCGGGCAATGACTGAGGCGATGACTCGGGCTTGAAGGTGTGACGTGAGATTTCAACCCAAGAAGGAGGAAAACCAGAGAAAAACCCAAGCATTCCCTTTCCAAACCCTCTATTGAGCTTCTGTAGAGAGGGCCTTTGTCCCAGGAGATGTGCAGACGCTGGGCTCCAGTGCGGGTCAGTTCACCACGTGTGACGTCCCTACCGGGGCAGTGTTCCTCTCCGGTACGCTCGATCTCTGGCGCGAGTCCCATCCACGCACCGCAGAAGGTACAGAGCTCAGGCGAATCGGGTGGAAGGGAAGCTTTTGCTGGCTCCTTCGTGCTGTGGTTTTAGGCCAGGTTTGCGAGGGTTTTAGGGTTGGGTTGACTTGCATTGGTTCAGGCTTAGCCTTGGTGGAAGGTTGGTCGTGCACGAGAGTGAAGAGGGTTTGGCCAGCCAGCCAGCGCAATGGGAAGGCAACTGCCGAAAAACACGAAAAGAGCGGTGAGCAATGTGTAGGGCTTAGCAGACATGATGTGACGGCAAAATTGGAATGTGTTCGAAGTTCAGACACCTTTTGCGAGACACTGGCTGGTGAGTGACCATGGAACCACCTTGGCTCAGGTGTTCTGGAAGGAGGGCGCAAGCGGCTCACCCCAGGTGTGGATCGGCAGAAAAGGGTTGGAGTGTAAGGATGAAGGGTGCCTTGGGAGTGTAAGGACGAAGGGTGCCTTCACGAGTGAACTCAATCTTGCCTCCATGTACGAGTTTGCGGCACCAGGCTTCCGAGGCGTGGCATGGTGCTAGGTAGGTAGTGCTACAGCGAGTTCCTGTTGTTTAAGTCGCTTCCGTCAAACTCGTTGCCATGCAGCGACAAATACGCACAGGGCAAATTCCTCTCTTACTTGATCGCCCGGCCCCATTGCAGTTTGCGACAGGCACATGTTCCGTTCTTCGATCAAAGCCAGTCTACGGGCAGGCAGCCAAAGGCGGCGCGTTGGATGCTCAGAGAGCCGGAAGCAAGCTACCCGTGTAGAATGCAGCTCATTGTGTCGAAGATGTGGGCAGCTTTGGCATCTACTGGAACTTTTACTGCACAGTGAATCAGATTACCCTCACCTTTGGATTGTTTTGGGGATCCAGGCCCTTGATTCTTGTGGGGAAAAATGGAAAGCAAGCCGTGACCTCCAAACCACCAATCCCACCAATTGGAGTCAAGTCTCGGCAGAGCTTTGACCCTCAAGCGAAAAGCGCATGAGGCGCCCGCAAGGCACCTGGAGCTTTCCCAAGGAGGCGCGCGAACGCTTCGCCACCTAGGGACTAAAACGGCGGGCCAGGTGTGGAGAAATTTCGGGAAAGGGTGTGGCTTTCGAGCCGGATTTGGGTGCCAAAATGGCGTCAGCCCTGTAGGACCAGTTGGGGTGTGTTTGTTATTGAGGGTACACCCCCTTTTTGGGTGGTTTTCAAGGGGAACCGAAAGGAAAACCACCATTTTGGTGGAGTTCCCTAAGAAAAGATACCAGTTTCAGTGAGGGAACCCTTGGCACGTTTCGTGTTTGGTGAGAGGAGAACCTGCCACAGGCATTGAACGAGGAGCTGCAGCGGGTGTTGGCTCAACTCAGGAGTTTAGAGGCGTGGATCCCAAAACCCAACGTGGAATGTCCCAACAAGTGACCTTCCCATCTTCTTTCAGATGCTTTGAGAGGGAATGAGCATAGAGGCGTACCAAAGCCAACAGTCAAAGGCCCACCTTTGGGGCCAAAGGATCGGTCGTAGGGAGTTGCGAAGCGAGCTGGCGAGGCCCACGAGAGGTCCACTGCTCTGCAGCGCTTTCTGGATGAGTTGCAGTCTCGTGCCCAAAGGCCGCGTTTTCCAGAAGCGACCCAAGGACTTGAGGTCCCTCAGGCCACCCTGAATTGGTGGTGTGGAGTGTTCCCCAAAGCATGGCGAAGGGTTCTTCCGTTGGGTTCATGGGAGTTGTGTATCATCAATATCATCATGAGAGTCATTGCACAGAGTTATCATCATCAGAGTCATTGCACAGAGTCATCATCATCATCATGAGAGTCATTGCACAGAGACATAGCACAGAGTCATTGCAAAGAATCATTGCACAGAGTCATGGCACAGAGTCATTTGCACAGAGCCATTGCACAGAGTCATTGCACAGAGAGTCACTGGCGAGGAGCAACGCTCGTGAGAGTCACTGGCGACGAGCAATGCTCATGAGAGTCACTTGCGAGGAGCAATGCTCGTGAGAGTCAATGGCGAGGAGCCATGCTCATGAGAGTTCTCATGAGAGGCGTTTAAATTCCTTTCTTCTCTTCTTACAGGGTAAGTGCTGTAAGTCGTCCCGGGTTGATCTAAGTCGTCCCGGGTGAGTGTGCCCGTTGTGTTTGTGGATGTAAAGATAGTTGTCTCAAGCATGTCGTTCTCTGAAACCGCATAATTCTGTGCTGTGCGCACGCAAAATGTTCATTGGGATGAGGGCACGGCTCACCCGGCGCTCGCGCGGCACTCGCGCAGAGTCGCGCGGCACTCGCGCCGGCAGCCCTTTTGTCGGGTGTTCCGGGGGAACCAACAGAAAACACTATGTATGTTTGAAGGATAGGAACCCTGTAGTTGCAGTGTGCCCAATAGGGTTTTGCCCGGGAAAAGCATTCAACATGAACCCAAACCAGTGAGTTTTGAGCATGTGCGTGCAGTGTGCGGTGAATTCTTGGGGTTGGCAACATTGCCCTTCCAGTTCTGTGCCCATTGTGTTTTGCAAAAAAAGGGGTGACTTAAAACGCATGGGGTGACTTAAACGGATATGCGTAGTTCCAAGCGGCTGGGGATGGCTGGGGTGACTTAACGCGACGTGGGGTGACTTACGATTTTTTACATTCCCGCGCGACCCTCTGCGCAGATCGGCGTGGTCGAAGCGCTGTCGCTGCGGCGCCTTGCGAACTTGCAAAGTGCCCGATGGACCCTCTGCGGGGATCGTGCGTGTCGAAGCGCTCTCGCCGTGGCACCGTGCGAATTTGTTGCTTGCGAACTGGTTTTTGGACGTTGTCGCGTGGTTTGCACGGCTGCTCTCGGAGTCGCAGGACGCAGCTCCGGCTGGAAAATGGCAACTTTTAAGTACAAATGTAGTACGCGGAGCACAGTCCTGCAGCTCCGGCTGCATAATGGCACTTTAAAGTAGAAAACTAGTATGCGAAGTGCTTCCCGAAAGCTCCGGCAGCACTTGCGCAGAGCAACTTGCACAGAGCTTACGCAGAGCAACCTGCGCAAAGCAACTTCCACAGAGCACTTGCACAGAGCAGCTAGCACAAGGCAACTTGGGCAGAGCAAAAATCAGCTTGTTTCGTTGGGAAATTTATTATCATGAGAGTCATTGCACAGAGTCATCATGACAGCCATTGCATAGAGTCATCACACAAGAGTCATCTGACAGATTGCGCATCGAGCAAAAAACTCGCGCACCTAGTTTTTTGGGATTTGGGCCCCTGGGTTTTGTAGAGGAACCGCCAATCCAAGCCACCAAACCACCCATCCAAGCCACCAACTAGGGGAAAGCTGACAAAGGGCTGGGGGCGCTTTTGTGTTTCCATGGATTGACGGAGACCTCCATAGGAAGGGCCCCTTAAAAGAAGGGGAGGGTCTTGGGCAGACTTGTCAGATCTGTTCTGCAGCTGTCGCCGGCGCAGGGAGCTGTCCAACTGGAGGGGCCCATTTCTCTCCAAGGAGGCGGGTGATACGCCATATAGTGGGTTGGCTGTCAGTGGTGATTTTGAACGAGGCTGGCATGTGTTGAATCCCCTTTTGGTTCGATGGCTCTTCAGTTTTGGATGCACACGCCGGAAGGTGCGTCTCGGCTGGCTACTTGATACGAAGCTGATGGGAGGGCCATCAATCACCAGGGAGTTTCGCATGTGCCAGGACCGGTTTCCATACTGGCAACACAATGTGTCGCGGCAGACCTCCAGGCCGGCATTTGCGCTCTGTCGCCTACTCAAATGGGTCACGGAAGCTTGTACACCCTCTAGGGATAGGCCGCTGCTTACCATCGATTTTTCGCCTTAGAAGTCAATCCCCCGCAGCAATGAGAGTAGTCTAGCAGAAGCTTGGATTCTCGAAATCACCAGCTGCTTGAGTTGATTGCGCGCCTTTTCGGATTGGACGCACAGGACGAGCCCACAGTCCGAGTGGGAGGACCAGCTGCAATCCTCGCAAAGGACCCTGCGACTAGATTCCTCATGGAGTCATCGCGGTGCTTTCGGGGATGTGTCCTTTCTTGCTGGTGCTCAGTAGGGAATGAGGGAATGATCCCTATAAACCATCCCTCGTGGTTTCCTTCAAGGGAATCCCCAGGTGCATTCCATTTCTCATTCCCTACTTCTCGCACCAGCAAGTTCTCAAGTTTTGAAGCTTATCCTCTCTCCCACTAACATGGAACAGTCCCTCCAGGAGTTTGATCTTCTAGGTACCCTCCCACAGGTGCCATGTTAGTTGGAGGGAAGCCTAGGGGTCTAAGCTTAACGTTGACCCAGGATCTAAGTAAGTAGAACCCGTCCCACTAGGGGGGTGTTCCCTCCAAAAGTGGTCTGAATCCCCACTAAAAGGGGACACCCCCCGATCAAAATCAACCAGGCGTTTATTAGTCCGGGGTTAACATTAAGGGTCTCCGGTAAGGGTCTCCCCACTGTGTATTGACTCCATTTAGGCACATTTCCGGATAACACCCTGTTATTTTGAACCATTCTGGGTCATTTCCCAAGGGTGTAATCCCAGGGTTTAATACAAAAACCCTCAGAGCCGGCTCTCCCAACGGCCACAACTTCAGGACTCTCTGCCGCGAACTTTCCCTGGAGCTGCCGCACTGCCGCGGCTCCGAGTTCAAGGAAGCGGCCAGGAAGGTTTTGGCCGTGCAGCACTTTAGGCGAGGGTGGTCGATATGCAACAGGGCTCCTTAAAAGATACATGTTGCAACCATTTGAAGCATGGCTTTTTCCACCAGAATAAAGGAACACCACCATTTACAAGGCAATGTTCAGGTGTATAATGTAAGGATCCCTGTTCAACAAAAAGCCATGATCTATCCGTTGAGGTGACAGCTTAAGCAATCAAAATACCTGCTAATTATGTGGAACAAGACTATTCTTGAACGCAGTACTGTTAGCCATGGTCCATGCCAATATTGCATGTTGGCCTATCACGTCTCTTTCAGGGTCTCGGAACACTGAATGCGAGTGGGGATGTGGAAAGGTCCTAGTAGGATGATGGCAACGAACACACTCGAGGCAGAATCTTGCATGGCGTTCACAGTTCCCGCAGCATGCCAGGCGGATGATGGAGTTTCCGCAGCGGAGTTATCTGAAAGATCAGGAGACCAATCACTAGCTTGGCATGTGTGTTTAGTGTGTGTATGTCTACACTTCGTTTTTCCTGAGCTTACCTTTTGCAGAAGAGCGTTGGTGTTTTATAATGGGAAAGAGCTGGCAGGAGTTGGATGTGTTTGATCACCCTTCGTAACCAGGTGGATTGAATCAAGAGGTGCAACCAGAATGGAGTCACAATGAGTCACAACGATCCTGTTCACCCGGGAGGATCTTCCAGCGAGTGTCATCGAGCAGATTGATTTGGACATGCCCAACTCTCAGTGGTGCGTTGTAAGCTACACCGTCCAAGCCTGTTTGTTGATTGAGAATCTGGCATGCTGACGTGAGGATGCAACAACTCGCTTTCCAGGTGAGGTAACATGTTTGCTGGCCACATGGCGGGAATAAAGATTAAGACCTAATCAATGTCCGGTGCAAGATCAATTATATACCGCAGGTTCCCAATATGTAGATGTGAACAACGCAGCCCTAATACACCATACAACAGAGGCCCCGGATGCGACCAGGTGAACTGTACGTTAGACGTGTTCATAGAATCACCTTTGGACGGGTGCCCAAAAACCAGTCAGCGGTGGTATGAGGTTGATTTGTTTCAAGCGGACCTTTTGCGGGACCCCCAAATTGTGGTTTCTCCAGTTGGTTGCGCTTTAAACCCGCAAAAATGGGGTACCCATGGTATGCTAAAAAAAAAGAGAAGAAGATAGATCCGTCTCGTGAGTCAGGAGGTTTCCCGCGTATCTCCGCGCCAGTCCCCGCACTGCCGGCAACGAGCCGGAGCTGAGAAGCTGCCTGGGGGTCACCCGGGCGCTGCTGCTGAGGCTCGAGCGCGGGGTACACCTGCTCTCGAAAAGCGGAAAATCGCTAAAAATCGCCGATATATGGCTGTGGGTCAAAATCAATGGTTCCATTTTGGGCTAGGTGCACCACCCAAAACTAGTCTATTTTAGTGGGGATTGAATCGGATGTTCACTGGGGGTACGATTTGGCTTTTGACCCATGATCAAAAGGTCCTTTACCTGGGGTGACCTTGGGAAAACGACCCAAAAAGAGGACTTTTTACCACATGGAAAAGTTCTACGTGTTTCAGTTGCGCCCGTCACAATCATTTTGCGCCTGTGCCAATCCTTCAAAGCCGTTCGCTGTTCTTTCTGGTAGTCAGGAGGCGGGGACGGCGAAGGTTGCAGCGTTGAACACAACGAGGGAGAGAGTAGTGGAGCGGGTGCCAAACAATGGCAGCTTGTAGCCTGCTTCTTGGGTAGAAGCGCACTTGCCCCTTAAGGTCGTAGAGAGCCCCCATGCAGAGGAGTAATTAAGAAATGAGAGCCAACATTGGGGGAGTGAAAAGCATAACGGACTTCGACCACCAAACACTGCCGACTTGGGTTGCCATGCAGGACCACACGCACAAAGAGTTGCGACGAAGCTCCACAAGCTCAACTTTGGTTGTTGATGCTTGCCAGTCTTTATGTCCTTCTACAGGAAGCCATACATGTCTAGACGTACACGAGCTGTATGAAGCATGCAGAGGAAGGAAGTAAATTTCTGAATTGTTTGTACTGAGCGGTACAGTCTGCAGTTACACAGTTGTCTACAGTTGCACCTTGGGAGCCGGAACCATGCATGTTCTTTACAGGGTCAGCAACAAGCAAGCTGAGAGCCTAGTAAATGACTCTCTTTTGATGGGGGAAATGTGGTGTTGGACTGTGAATGATGGATTACGATTAGGAGCCCTCGGCCATTTTGAATAAACTAGGCCAAAAACCTGGACTATTATGGGTGCGAATACTATGTAGGGACCCTTTGGTGGACATCATTGGGGATTCATGTCCAGCAACCACTTTGGAGGTGGTTCCAACTGTTAAAGTTCATAGCCATACCTACTTCAGTGAGGCTCACCAAGGTTGATGTTCTTTCGCCAGGCAAGCGGCCGAGGCGGGGCGTGAGGGCAACGGAATGGCTCAACAGATTTCTGGGGCGAGGAGAGCCTCGTTTGACGCAAGTTGTGGTTGGCATGCCTGCGATATTCGGGGACCTGGTGTTGTATATGGGTGTGGCTCAAAATTAAACAGGAGGGATGTTTCCACCTACCAGGGTTCCATTTTGGTACCGGTTTTTTGAGCCACACCCGCAAGCTGACCCCGGGCTTAGAGAGTCATGCAGCACGGATGGGTGTCAATGGCAGGACCCTGAGCTCGGATACTGCCAGGGCATGAACATGGTCGCTGCTGGCTCAGAGTGGCTGAGGCGGTTTGAAGGCAGCATTTCTTTTCCAAGGCTTGTTGGTATGCACGTCAGAGGAAGTGGTTATGGGTAAAAATCCCTACCCCCAGTGAACATCCCAATCCCCACTAAAATGGACTAAAATGGGTGGCGAATTCACCTACCCCAAAACGGTACCATTGGTTTTGACCCACAGCCAAGTGACAACTGAGGCGGCTCTCTTTGCGGTTGCAGCGCAAACTCCAGAAGAGGCCTGCGGCGCGAGAACATTTGTGAAAGGTCGACGGGTCAGGAAACCTGTCTTGTCCTTCAAGATGTTTACATGGGGCTTGTGACAATTCAAACTGGGATTCGATATCAAAGGGAAGTCTACAGAAACTGAGATGCACAAGGCACAGCGGCGGATCTTCAGTGACTTGAACCGGTTTTATGGCTTTGGAGCCTTCATCCGGCTGAAAGCCCTGCCTTGGGGGGACCATGCGCAAGTCAACATAAAACTCTGCCAGGCAACCAACTACTGCTAGGGGATCGGCCGGCAAGCCCAGCCCAACTTACCAAGTCGACCAACCTCGCTGGAACCAAGCGTCGAGCGAACGGGCTCTGGAGTTGTTCCGGTGCTTTATTTGCTGTCGGTCAACCCCCTGACAGATGCCTCCAATTGGATGTGGCTAGGCCTTCACGCGCTTCCGGGGCTTTGTGAGCAAGTTCCGGGGCCTTTGGCAACCAGGTGGGGAAAAGGGAAAAGACAGCAGACTAGAGCAAAAGCAATGTGCAAGCAAGGGACAAGGAGTCGCCTATAAAAGGACCCATTCTGTAGCGAATCCCCACCCACAGGTTTGCAGTGTTTCCTGTCAGGAGAACAGGCCTAATCGAGTAGCGCCTGTGACAAATGTGGAATCTTTGAGACAGTGCAAAGCCCAGAGAACAAGAGATCACGGCCACATTTGATGAATCTAGATGCGACAAATCAAAGGAGGACATGTTTTTGATAGCCAACAGAAAAAGAAGAGGACCCCTTCCCCCCGGGCCAAAGCATTATTCTTAAAGAAGTATTAGCATCAGCATGAACACGAGTGAGGAAAAGACATCACGAGTTATCCACGTCCAAGCCTGTCCTGACATGCTATTTGTTCATCGCTTCTGGGTTTATTATGACGATCTCGACTAGGGAAGAGATGAAGGCATGTGATGGACAAGAACCTTCAGATACAACGCAAACAACATGGAATGATGACGTTCTCTATCTTATGAGCCTTCACGCCAAGAGTTATGATGGCATGAGGGTGTTGATTATAATGTTCCTTGTGTCCCTATCTCACCATTTGGACTAAGAATATCATGGTCGAGACAAGACATGAAGAAAAACAACATCGCTCTTAGCAGTTGTTCTGGCTGAAGTGTGTTCTAACTTCATCGTTTTAAGGCTATTTAAGAACCAACGCAATAACACATAGACAGAAGTTCCTTTCATCCACTCGGAGCAGAGGAAAGGTGAAAGAAAAAGGACATGAGAAGAAAGCGTGCAAATCACCTTTCGCGGTTTGGACAAATCACAGAAATACCTCGAGAAGGTCAACAAACGTACAAGATTGCAAACCCACACCCCCCTTGGGCCTTCCCCTATAGTCTTAGCTTTCTTGTTTTTGTTGGTTTTCTCGAGGCATTCTGCATTCTGGGCAAAGAACCTCAAGTAAGCACAACACAAACGAGAGCCCCAAACAACAATCAAGACTGCTGGCCCCAAATCTTCTGGACTTCTCCCCCGGGGCTGCAATCTTGCTGTTTGTTGTTTTCTCGAGTTTGTGTTTGGGGTCTATGCCAAACATCAAAGAAGAACAAACCACCAAGAAACAACACCAAAAAAGATTGCAGACCCCGAGCCGCCCCTTTTTTAGGGTGTGAAATGTTGTCTCTGTGTTTTACTGTTTGTTTTGTTGTCGTGGTTGTTTAACGTTCATGTGTTTACTATTATTATTATTATTACCTCCACAACCGCAGCCCACATGGCATCCCCTGGAACTGTTTAGCTTGAAACATGTGAGCCACAATCAAAACCCGGGTAGATGAAGGCTAGTAAGGGATACTCCCAACCATAAATAGCTGCGGCCGCCTTCTTAATTCTCTACATGGATTTGGGTAGACCATTTTAATACCGGGTTTTGATTATGACTCGTGTTTGTTCGTTGACTACCCGCGACGGATATCTCCAGAGAGTTCATTGGGGATGTTGTACGTAGTGCAGCTTGGGTTTCCGTTCCATCGTGTGTTTTAGACCCCAGTGGCGCTCAGCATTGGATCCATCTGATCACACGTCCGTTGATCGAGTGCTCTGTCAACATTGCCAGCTTCCTGAGACATTGTCCTGCTCTGGCTTAGTTAAATAATACCTTGCAGAACCCCACAAATGCATTGGTGGCAGTTGTGTGTGTGTGTGTGACTGCTGTCGAGGCTTCCCCCTTCTGCAGCAGGGCATGGGCATCTTTGAGACACTGGCGGCAGACCGGCCGTGGTTTCAGCATTTGAACAGGACCGGCGGTAGCGGGATCAATGGTGGACAGGAATTGAATCAGCGATGCCCAGTGGCAACAACCTCAGCACAACCCAATTTTTGCATCCAAACAAACACTTAGTGCTCCGTATCAATCACCGAAACTGCTGTCATACTGTCATACTCATGACTGTCAAGTGTGAGTACATCATTTCATGTATGGCTTTTGAGTTCGAGTTCATTTGCCTGAATCGTACGCCTGCAAGATCAGCGCTGATTCCGAAGCTTGTTCATATTCTCTCAAGACCAGGAGGGTGCGTCTGGGGTGTTCGTGGATTGCCATTCAACTCCATTCAGTCCATTCAAGTCTATTCAACTCCATGAACTCCCTTCAACTCCATTCAATCCATAGGAGACCCCCAGCCCGTGCGGTGTGAGGAACGGGGTGGAGGCGGACATGTATCTCCCCCGCGCCTGGCTTGGTCTCTTCACCTCCTGGCTGCCGCTGGCCACTCGCGCCTGGCGCCCTTGTGGGGCCCGGCGACGTGTTGCCTTTTGAGGGATCAGAGTGGTTCCCAATACCCACCAGTTGTTGACTTTCTTGCATTTTCTTTGTGGAGTGGCCTGTTAGTTGCTTCCGAATCTGGTTGGCTCAGCAAGCTCGGCAAAGTTCCAGGATATTTGTTTAATTTATTTATTCTCATTTTCTCGTTTTTTGGTTTTCCGCAAAGCGTTTCAACGGCTCAAGCATTTTGTGAATCGCCCGGAGTACGAGTCATCAGCTGTTGCCAGCGTAAGTACCCGAACTCGGGCGCCGAGGTCATCTTACTGCGCGACTTCGAGGAAGGCGACTTGCAATCCATCATGGCTGTGACCATGGCAGTATTGGACCACGTGGGGTGCCGGGCCCAGAAAGGGGTGGACTGGAGCAGCAAATGCATTCGTTTTTTTTCTCCTGTTTTGCGAGAGGCCAATGTGTTTGCTTCAGCAAGCAACGCTTGATTTGCACGTTGCAGGTGACGTGCACAGAGGGGTTCAGAATTCATAAGAGACAGAACCTGTTGATTTGTCCTTTAGAGGGGCAAGCTTCAAGAGTGCGCTCACAAATGAATGCGATCCTGGCCCCCTTCGCATAGAGTTGAGCACAAGTTCAAAGTGGGAGTTGGGGCAAAGGCTCAAACCCGAGGAGCTCACTCCTGGCAGAAGGCGATGACATGGATGAGTTGCTGACAGTCTTGGAGCATATCAAGGAGAGCCCGTGCGATGCCTAGTCCAGCCAACGTAGTAGAAGGGGAGGCCATAATTCGAAGTGGCGGCTCGTGTGGCTCCTTACATGGGTTTTCATAGAGTACTGGGTGGTTGGCCGTGACTCGGTGAGCAACTGCCTTGCCTGCAAGTGCAAAGTAGTGATCATTGTTTTGAGGATTTGTTGGAAGCTTCACATTTCTTATGGGAGAAGAGAAGCACAACATGTAGCAATGCTGAACATAGGCTCATGGTCGCAGGCTCACCCACTTCCCATTGCCACCGAAGGCCGCATCCGGCTGCGCTGATCACAGCTCGAGATGCGTGGCTCCCGGCTGTTTCAGCAAGGAGGCGGGACGTGGGTGCGTGTCAAAATAGGGCTAACCTGTCCCAAACCTAATCCCCAATGATTAGCGGATTACGGATTACGCGGTTTACGGATTAGAACGTTTTGGTGTAGGACGCCCAACTACATTGCGGGGGAACTGCTTTTCAGCGTTTTAAGGGGCGTTTCATTAGAACAACACGCTCAGCAACCCGAAAATGACACCACACCATGTGAAAGGGCCCAGGCGGGGTCACTTTTCTAGGATGGAGTCGTGGATGCCTGGTACTGGTTCGAGGCTTTGTCAAGCCCACTTCAGTGCAAAACCAGTTGGGCTGACCACAAGCCATGCGATTTTTTCAAATGGTGGTGGATTGCTGCTACTGGTTTGGAGCTCTGCAAGCGCCACTTGATTGCAAAAGCAGTTCTGCCTTGCCTCAGACCCGACAAGTGAGGAAGAAAGTAACCCCGGATTGGGGCCAAGTCACGGGAAAGGGCTTGTTCGGGGTTACTTTAGACATGGATGGCTGCTACTGGTTTGGATCTCTGCAAGCGCCACTTCATTGCAAAAGCAATTCTGCCTTTCCTCGACCTTGCCCGACAAGTGAGGAACAAAGTAACCCCGGATTGAGGCCAAGCCACGGGAAAGGACTTGTTCGGGGATACTTTAGACATTGGTGGCTGCTACTGGTTTGGAGCTCTGCAAGCGCCACTTCATTGCAAACGCAGTTCTGCCTTTCCTCGACCTTGCCCGACAAGTAAGGAACAAAGCAACCCCGGATTGAGGCCAAGTCACGGGAGTTACTTTAGACATGGATGGCTGCTACTGGTTTGGAGCTCTGCAAGCACCAGTTCATTGCAAAAGCCAGACAAGTAAGCAACAAAGTAACCCCGGATTGGGGCCAAGTCAAGGGCTTGTTCGGACATGGATGGCTGCTACTGGTTTGGAGCTCTGCAAGGGCCACTTCACTGCAAAAGCAGTTCTGCCTTTCCTCGACCTTGCCCGACAAGTAAGGAACAAAGTAACCCCGGATTGGGGCCAAGTCACGCAAAGCGCTTGGCTGCTACTGGTTTGGAGCTCTGCAAGCGCCTTTTCATTGCAAAAGCAGTTCTGCCTTTCCTTGACCTTGCCCAACAAGTAAGGAACGCAGTAATGCCGGATTGGGGCCAAGTCACGGGAAAGGGCTTCTTCGGGGTTACTTTGGACATGGATGGCTGCTACTGGTTTGGAGCTCTGCAGGGCCACTTCATTGCAACAGCAGTTCTGCCTTTCCTCGACCTTGCCCGACAAGTGAGGAACAAAGTAACCCCGGATTGAGGCCAAGTCGCGGGAAAGGGCTTGTCCGGGGTTACTTTAGACATGGATGGCTGCTACTGGTTTGGAGCTCTGCAAAGGCAAACACAATTCTGCCTTTCCTAGGAACAAAGTAACCCCGGATTGGGGCCAAGACAAGGGCTTGTTCGGACATGGATGGCTGCTACTGGTTTGGAGCTCTGCAAGGGCCACTTCACTGCAAAAGCAGTTCTGCCTTTCCTCGACCTTGTTCGACAAGTGAGGAACAAAGTAACACCGGAGTGGGGCCAAGTCACGGGAAAGAGCTTGTTTGGGGTTACTTTGGACATGGATGGCTGCTACTGGTTTGGAGCTCTGCAAGGGCCACGTCATTGCAAAAGCACCTCTGCTTTTTTCTCGACCTGAGGAAGAAAGTAACCCCGGATTGGGGCCAAGTCACGCGAAAGGGCTTGTTCGGGGTTACTTTGGTTCGTGGATGGCTGCTACTGGCTTGGAGCTCTGCAAGCACCACTTCATTGGAGAAGCAGTTCTGCCTTTCCTTGACCTTGCCCGACAAGTAAGGAACAAAGTAACCCCGGATTGGGGCCAAGTCACGGGAAAGGGCTTGTTCGGGGTTACTTTGGATATGGATGGCTGCTACTGGTTTGGAGCTTTGCAAGCGCCACTTCATTGCAAAAGCAGTTCTGCCTTTCCTCGACCTTGCCCGACAAGTGAGGAACAAAGTAACCCCGGATTGGGGCCAAGTGACGGGAACGAGCTTGTTCGGGGTTACTTTGGACATGGATGGCTGCTACTGGTTTGGAGCTCTGCAAGCACCACTTCATTGCAAAAGCAGTTCTGCCTTTCCTTGACCTTGCCCGACAAGTAAGGAACAAAGTAACCCCGGATTGGGGCCAAGTCACGGGAAAGGGCTTGTTCGGAGTTACTTTGGACATGGATGGCTGCTACTGGTTTGGAGCTCTGCAAGCTCCACTTCATTGCAAAAGCAGTTCTGCCTTTCCTCGACCTTGCCCGACAAGTGAGGAACAAAGTAACCCCGGATTGGGGCCAAGTGACGGGAACGAGCTTGTTCGGGGTTACTTTGGACATGGATGGCTGCTACTGGTTTGGAGCTCTGCAAGCACCACGTCATTGCAAAAGCGGTTCTGCCTTTCCTCGACCTTGCCCGACAAGTAAGGAACAAAGTAACCCCGGATTGGGGCCAAGCCAAGGGCTTGTTCGGACATGGATGGCTGCTACTGGTTTGGAGCTTTGCAAGCACCAGTTCATTGCAAAAGCAGTTCTGCCTTTCCTCGACCTTGCCCGACAAGTGGAACAAAGACCCCGGATTGGGGCCAAGTCACGGGAAAGGGCTTTTTCGGGGTTACTACTGGTTTGGAGCTCTGCAAGCACCAGTTCATTGCAAAAGCAGTTCTGCCTTTCCTCGACCTTGCTCGACAAGTAAGGAACAAAGTAACCCCGGATTGGGGCCAAGTCACGGGAAAGGGCTTGTTCGTGGTTACTTTGGACATGGATGGCTGCTACTGGTTTGAAGCTCTGCAAGCACTACTTCATTGCAAAAGCAGTTCTGCCTTTCCTTGACCTTGCCCGACAAGTAAGGAACAAAGTAACCCCGTGGGGCCAAGTCACGGGAAAGGGCTTGTTCGGGGTCATTTTGCACATGGATGGCTACTACTGGTTTGGAGCTCTGCAAGGAGGTTATGCTGTGTTCCTTACTTGTCAGGCAAGGTCGAGGAAAGGCAGAACTGCTTTTGCAATGAAGTGGCCTCTGCAGAGCTCCAAACCAGTAGCAGCCATCCATGTCTAAAGTAACCCCGAACAAGCCCTTTTCCGTGACCTGGCCCCAATCCGGGGTTACTTTGTTCCCCGCTTGTCGGGCAAGGTCGAGGAAAAGCAGAACTGCTGTTGCAAGCCCTTTCCCGTGACTTGGCCCCAATCCGGGGTTACTTTTGTTTCTTACTTGTCGGGCAAGGTCGAGAAAAAAGGCAGAGCTGCTTTTGCAGTGAAGTGCTCCTTGCAGAGCTCCAAACCAGTAGCAGCCATCCACGTCCAAAGTAATCTCGAACAAGCCCTTTCCCGTGACTTGGCCCCAATCCGGGGTTACTTTTGTTCCTTACTTGTCGGGCAAGGTTGAGAAAAGGCAGAGCTGCTTTTGCAGTGAAGTGCTCCTTGCAGAGCCCCAAACCAGTAGCAGCCATCCACGTCCAAAGTAACCCCGAACAAGCCCTTTCCTGTGGCGTGGCCTCAATCCGGGGTTACTTTGTTGCTTACTTGTCGGGCAAGGTCAAGGAAAGGCAGAACTGCTTCTCCAATGAACTCCAAACCAGTAGAAGCCATCCACGACCAAAGTAACCCGGAACAAGCCCTTTCCCGTGACTTTACCCCAATCCGGGGTTACTTTGTTCCTTACTTGCCGGGCAAGGTCGAGGAAAGGCAGAACTGCTTTTGCAGTGTTTCCCGTGACTTGGCCCCAATCTGGGGTTACTTTGTTCCTCACCTGTTTGGCAAGGCCGAGGAAAGGCAGAACTGCTTTTGCAGTGAATTGGAACTTGCAGAGCTCCAAACCAGTAGCAGCCATCCACGACCAATTTAACTCCGAACAAGCCCTTTCCCGTGACTTGGCGGGACTACTTTGTTCCTTACTTGTCGGGCAAGGTCAAGGAAAGGCAGAACTGCTTCTCCAATGAAGTGGTGCTTGCAGCCATTCATGTCTAAAACAACCCCGAACAAGCCCTTTCCCGTGACTTGGCCCCAATCCGGGGTTACTTTTGTTCCTTACTTGTCGGGCAAGGTCGAGAAAAGGCAGAGCTGCTTTTGCAGGGAAGTGCTTCTCGCAGAGCTCCAAACCAGTAGCAGCCATCCACGTCCAAAGTAACCCCGAACAAGCCCTTTCCCGTGACTTGGCCTCAATCCTTTTGTTCCTCGCTTGTGGGGCAAGGTCGAGGAAAGGCAGAACTGCTTTTGCAGTGAAGTGCTCCTTGCAGGGCTCCAAACCAGTAGCAGCAATCCACGTCCCAAGTAACCCTCAACAAGCCCTTTCCCGCGACTTGGCCCCAATCCGGGGTTACTTTTGTTCCTTACTTGTCGGGCAAGGTCGAGAATAGGCAGAGCTGCTTTTAGAGCTTCAAGCCAGTAGCAGCCATCCATGTCCAACGTAACCCCGTTCCCGTGAGTTGGCCCCAATCCGGGGTTACTTTTTGCAATGAAGGTTTGCTTGCAGAGCCCCAAACCGGTAGCAGCCATCCATGTCCAAAGTAACCCCGAACAAGCCCTTTCCCGTGACTTGGCCCCAATCCGGGGTTACTTTGTTGCTTACTTGTCGGGCAGGGTCGAGGACAGGCAGAACTGGTTTTACAGCGCAGTGGCCCTTGCAGAGCTCCAAACCAGTAGCAGCCATCCATGCCAAAAGTAACCCCAAACAAGCCCTTTCCCGTGACTTGGCCCCAATCCGGGGTTACTTTGTTCCTTGTCGGGCAGCGTCGAGGACAAGCAGAACTGGTGTTACAGCGCAGTGGCCCTTGCAGAGCTCCAAACCAGTAGCAGCCATCCATGTCTAAAGCAATCGCGAACAAGCCCTTTCCCGTGACTTGGCCCCAATCCGGGGTTACTTTTGTTCCTTACTTGTCGGGCAAGGTCGAGAAAAGGCAGAACTGCTTTTGCAGGGAAGTGCTTCTCGCAGAGCTCCGAACCATAGCAGCCATCCACGCCCCAAGTAACCCCGAACAAGCCCTTTCCCGTGACTTGGCCCCAAGCCAGGGTTACTTTTGTCCCTTACTTGTCGGGCAAGGTCGAGAAAAAAGGCAGAGCTGCTTTTGCGGTGAAGTGCTCCTTGCAGAGCTCCAAACCAGTAGCAGCCATCCACGTCCAAAGTAACCCCGAACAAGCCCTTTCCCGTGACTTGGCCCCAATCCGGGGTTACTTTTGTTCCTTACTTGTCGGGCAAGGTCGAGAAAAGGCAGAGCTGCTTTTGCAGTGAAGTGCTCCTTGCAGAGCCCCAAACCAGTAGCAGCCATCCACGTCCAAAGTAACCCCGAACAAGCCCTTTCCCGTGACGTGGCCCCAATCCGGGGTTACTTTGTTCCTTACTTGTCGGGCAAGGTCAAGGAAAGGCAGAACTGCTTCTCCAATGAAGTGGTGCTTGCAGAGCTCCAAACCAGTAGCAGCCATCCACGACCAAAGTAACCCCGAACAAGCCCTTTCCCGTGACTTGGCCCCAATCCGGGGTTACTTTGTTCATTACTTGCCGGGTCGAGGAAAGGCAGAACGGCTTTTGCAGTGAAATGGCCTTTGCAGAGCCCCAAGCCAGTAGCAGCCATCCACGTCTAAAGTAACCCCGAACAAGTCCTTTCCCGTGACTTGGCCCCAATCCGGGGTTACTTTGTTCCCCACTTGTCTGGCAAGGCCGAGGAAAGGCAGAACTGCTTTTGCAGTGAATTGGGACTTGCCGAGCTTCAAACCAGTAGCAGCCATCCACGTCCAAAGTAACCCCGAACAAGCCCTTTCCCGTGACTTGGCCCCAATCCGGGGTTACTTTGTTCCTTACTTGTCGGGCAAGGTCAAGGAAAGGCAGAACTGCTTTCGCAATGAAGTGGCGGTTGCAGAGCTCCAAACAAGTAGCAGCCATCCATGTCCAAAGTAACCCCGAACAAGCTCTTTCCCGTGACTTGGCCCCAATCCGGGGTTACTTTGTTCCTTACTTGTCAAGCAAGTCTGAGTCAAGGCAGAACTGCTTTTGCAGTGAAGTTGCCCTTGCAGAGCTCCAAACCAGTAGCAGCAATCCGCAGCCACTTTTTGGAAAAGTAGCCCCGAGCGGTTACTCTGAACGGGTGTTGACTGGGCATATTGCTTTTGAGCAGAAGAGGGCTCGGTTGCATTGATTTTGAATAGCCTTGCCTGGGGCGTGGAATGGCAAGAAGCCGCGCGGATTACGGATTAGGGGGTTTACCCGTTGAAACGCGGATTAAGCGGATTACGGATTGTGATTAGGCCCCCCGGGATTTCGAACAGGCTAGTAGGGGGACCCCCTTCAAATCAAACCCCGGACAGACCCTAGAAACGCAGCCCCACATCGGCGTTGGCGTTGGAATCTTAATCAGGGAATGGAACACAGTGATGAATCTCAGAAAGAAGAGCTTGCTAACTCAGCTACATGACAACAATCCCCTCAACGCGTAAGTCATTAGCAGCTAGTGACTTACGATTGTTTTCATGTCGCTGAGTCGTTTCCAGTTGGCCAGATCCAGAAAGAGCTGCTGGCAGTCACTGCGCAGAGATGGCTCGAGAGTGCTGGATGGCCATGGCCGGGAGGCCGGAGCTCGACCACGCACTGCAGCTGTTGCTTCTTGCCGCTGTTCCATGTCGTGTTTGTGAGTGTGTGTGTGTGTGCAGGATTCATATTGGAACGCGTGACTTTGTGCTTGATTGACCACCGGTTTACGTTCAAACTTTGCCTGCAATATTGTTTTCAGGAGGGTTCATTTCGATGCCCAATCTTGCATACTCGCAGCAGTTTGGTATAGCTCACAGCCCGCATCCCAGAGCTGTCGGAGGCACTCTTCTGGGACTTTCGACCACGGAGACTATCAGCCATCGCAGGCGGGCCTTGGTTTCACCCGTTGCCAGACCCAGCCTTCTATTTCATGATTGGGGCTCAACTTTCTGCTCCTTTCTCATAAGGTGGATAGTCGAAAGAGTGAGTTCTATGCAATGCATTGCATTGGAATTGTGGCGAGCTGTTGATTTCTGCCAGCAGCAGGCAGAGCCCTGCTGAGATTCTCCCTCAAGGACTTTGGCCGACACCACTGACATTTGTGGATGTGGGGCACTGTTTTCAATTGCACAAGCTGAGAAGGCTGTGTAGATAATCCTCGCTGCAATCGTATGCACTCGCTCTTTGTCACAGCTTGTCCGCAGACAATGCGTTTGACAGGCACTAGCTAATTCCCATAGGCACTGGCAGGCCAATTGCAAAATTGCCAATGGAGCCAGCCTAAACATGTGCCATCCGTAAAAGGATTGGATCAATTCAACAAGAAAAGGCGCAGTTGTTGCATGGGTGTTTCCGTGCACTGTGCGCGCGGACGTCTTGCACGCTGACGAGCAGGGCCGCTTTCAGAGGCAGTGGATGCCAGGTGCCACCAGGATGGCCTGACCAGAGAGTCAAGGCCTTTGGAAGCCGCGACCCAGCGAAAATCCGAGTGGTCTGAGACTCAGACAGTAGAAAGATGCAGAACATCTCAAATACTCTGAGTCGTGCTCAAGAGTAGAGGAAATGTGTGGGTAACAGGCCATACTCATGCATACTTATACACATGGTTGAGGTTGCGCTAACCACGCAGCGCGCCGTGCCTTTCTGTGTACCTTCAGGCTCGGCTCGCCTACACAAAAGGGGGTCCTGTTTTTAGTGTTGGGGTGGCGCCAACAGCCAAAGGTGCAGTTTAAACAAGAACGCTCGCCCAAGACGTAAATGCGAATCCCCGCACGCCGAAGCAAGAAAGCGCCTGTCCGGGACGTGAAGGAGAAGCAAGCAACGATGTGCTGACTTGATCAACACGACGAGAAGGAGCTACTGCAGCGAGAATTCTCACTACCTGCGATGCGTTCTGAACGCAAAATGCTACTGGCAGAGCCTGGAGCGCAGCCTGTCTGCAAGTCGTGTGTGGAAAGGGAGACGTCAAGATGGCGCCGCAAGCAACGCCTGGCTCGCGCCTGATAACACCGTTTCACTCTTGCGTTGACCAAAACAAAGCCCGCTGGCCGAGAAAAGAAAGCGCGCGGTTGGACGCTGCTCGCTAACGGAATCCACACGACAAGACGAGCGACTGAAGCGAACTTTCGCGCTACCTGCGATGAGTTCTGAACGGGACCTCCTACTGGGCAAGAGCTGACTGCACGGTGAGTGCGTGGAGCGCCATTGCCAGTCCCCCACCCAAGCCCTCCCCGCGTCCATTCGCTGGCTTCTCGCATGCGTAATAACGCCAAACACAGCAAACACATAGAACTTCTAGAACAATTAACGCTTACCTCCAACAGCATTTTCCATGCTTCCCACATTGTATTCCCACCTTGCCAAATTTACATTGTGCTCAAGAAACAGCTGATTGACAACAAGCTTTGAGCCAAGGACAGCCATAGCCCCTCGTTGGTTTGATGAGTCGTGCGGCTGACGCTTGTTGGGACGTATGAACAACCCCTTGCGTAGACCTCATCGTTGCCGAGGAGACGTTTTACGGATGATCGTCATCGGCCTGGTGAGATCTCGGAGGACTTCGTAGAGTGGTGGACGTCCAGACCCGACTCACCACCATCCTCCCAAGATTGGCATCATGGGTTTGGTCCACTGACAAGGTGAAGGAACGCAAAGACACCGCGGTCAATGATTATGTTGATGCCCAGAAAAGACTGGCAACAGGACATGTCATGAACATGATGGTAAAGAATCTACGATTGGGTCATCGGCAAGAACGTAGCTTTGGGAAGCAACAATATTCGTTCTTCTATCCTCGACTTTCTGAGTCGTAGTCATAGTCGAAGAACAGTATGCGGTATGCTCGTACCGCTCGATCGCCTGATAGATACCTGGGGAACAAGTGGTGTGACACTGTCCTTGGGCATGAAGCCGCATTGAGGCAACAGGAAGGAGGCGCCTTGAGGCGCAAGGGCGGGGCCCTTGGATTGCCGATGCCACATCGGGCCCACATTGTCCTCGAGCACAGCCAAGGGGAAGGGCGCTGGAAGGGCGAGGAAGGGCGCGAAAGGCAGAAAAGGGCAATGGGGCTAGTTGGCAGAGCCGCCGTGAGGTGAGGGGTTATGACCGTGACACGTCTTTCTTCGGTCTGCCTGAACTCTGTGTGTTTGGTTATTCTTCCTCCGTGCCTCGTATCTTTGCACGATGATGTGCATTTGCCACGACGCTCTTTTCAGCGGTCCTTTTTTGTGCCTGATGCCGTACCATACTCCGGAAGGGTATATCGACGTGTGGTTGGGGTCACGGTTCTACTGGCGGATCTCTTCGCAGTTGTTGAGTGGGCATTTGGTGCAGCTTGACTGCTGAGCGTTGAGAGCACGTGGAAGAAACGCCGCACCGATGGCATCAGCGCCTCCCTGGGTGAAGTGGCCTCGCCGGGTCAGCGCCAGTTTCTTGCGACGAAGGATGCTTTGACCCGTGGCAAGCGTGAATTATATCGCTTTGGAACCTGAAGGGTTGGTGTTTGGGATTCGTGGTTTCTTTTGAAGCCAGTTTGAAGCGATTGGCCACCCTGCGTAGGAGGGTGTGAATGACAAGCCATACCCGTTTAGCAGCCATACCTTGCCATACATCTGGCGCAAGAATCCCCACGCTGGCTCAACGTGGAATCAGCTGATTGAAAGCAATAACCTTCGACTGCGCGGCCATTGCATCGTGTTATTGGTTGTGTTGGACATGTAGTCTTTGCTGGGATATAATTATATGAACCAGTCCCTGGGCCACGTACCCCTTTTCAATGGTATGGTCCCCCCACTCCCCCGCATCATCCGCATCTTGGGGATGATGCTGGCAATGCTGGGGATGCTGTCCAGTACCGTGTGAGCCCTGCAGCTTCGGTCCCAGACTCCCCCTTTCACCCCGTGAACCAACACCCCCGCACCTCTCGCAACATCCTACCCTAAACCAAACCACCCTGCAACCCCTCCTTAACCCCAACCCTAAGCCTAAATCAACCCAAACCCCAAACCCACCCGAAACCCACCGCAAACCAACCCTGAACCAACCCTGAACCAACCCTAAACCAACCCACCAAGCCTAAACCAACTCCGAACCACACCCCAACCACCCAACCACCCAACCACCCCACCACCCCACCACCCCACCACCCACCCCACCCCCACAGGGGGGGGGGGGTTGGAGTTAGTGGAGGCCTCTCCCGTCCGCATTTTGCCATCCGGTCCTAGGGTCCCCCCCACGCTTTTGGGCACATTCTGAATACGCCCACTAAAACAACCTATTTTCAACATTCAAATTCAATCACCCAACCAATCCAACACCAAAAAACACATATTCACATACCCATCTTCATTTCTTACCCCATCTCAACATCACCCTTACACTCATTCAATAACAACAATCATAACTACATACCACCTCAACAAATCCCACCAAAAAAATCCAAGCTACATACCAACATTTTTCCATTCCCAAGATCGCAACCCCAAGATCTCAATAATTCCTCCCTTGATCCAACCTGAGACCCTTTCCCATTTCCAACAAATACGAACAGTCTAAAAAAGAACCCTATGTTCGCCCCGAAAAATGGTTAACCAATGGAAAAGGGAGAATTAAAACCGTTAACCCAAATCTTGAAAACAATCCCAGTAAAATATGGATGGCAAAATGCGGATGGGAAAGGCCTATGTAGGAAAGCACCACCACGGCTTATACGGGAAACCTATACTATAATTACAACATATAAGATCTTACATGTTATAAGTATAGCAAAACTATGGTATCGAAGGCTTTAATCTATGTATTTCCATGGGTTGTATTCGTTTCTTCTGTTCCTTCCTTAACTCTTTTGTTGCTTTTACTTTGTCTCTGCATTCCTTACATGTTTTGTAAAATATATCTTCCATTTTAATTCTATCATACATTTTGTGAAAATCCTTTCTTGGCTTTGCTTCGTCGCATTTACTGCAATGATAAACCATTGTGCATCCTGTTTCTTCTTCGTCATCTGTAGAACTCATAATATTAGTTATACCAATATGTCTTTAAACGGATTTTCAGAGAAAAATGTTTTCAATCAAGAATAAATCCCTGTATCTTCATCATAGTCAATTTGATAAAATGTCATAGTTGAAGCCTTCGGTTCTTTAATTTCTTTGTTATTAAGTTTGTTTAAATAAATGTTTCTTTTATTTTTATATTCACCATTGGTTCGATCTACTTCCTTACTTTGATAATTGTTTGTTAATGGTTTCTTCTTTTCCATTTCGTGTAAGATTTCTAAAATATGTTTATTCTGTTCCAAAACCTTATTCAGTTTTTTAACAATCTTTTCTAATCCTTCATCCATGTAAATATATATATTATATTATAAAATAAAACTTTTAAAACTAAACTTTTTATTTTACAAAATCATATATCATTATAAGTCAATTCAAAATTAGTTATTGTATAACTAGTTAAATGATTATTCAATTTACCAATTAAATTACAAATAATAGTTTTTCTAAATTTTGAATATTTATGAAACTTTTCAATATTATCTGTAATATAAATTATTAAACATTTAATACATTCAAAAACATTAACAACATTAATATTACTATTCTTGTAAATATTATTCATTTTTCTCAATGTAATTTCATAAAACTGAATAGCATTCTTATTATCATAATTAGCAATAAATCTTAAAGTATATGAATATACTCTTTTACAATAGAATTTTAAATCTGATTGTTCAAATAAATCAGCATAATTAATAGAATTATAAAACATGTTAAAATCAATTTTGCTATTTCTAAAGTCATTAACAAAATTAATTAATATATCATTTTCGTTATATTCTTCAATAAAATTATTCAATTTCAATTCTTTTACATCAATGAATTTAATAATATTATTTATAACATCTTGCATTATAAATAATAATAGAAATAATTTTAACTACTATTTTTTCATCATTTCGCGTATAGTTTCTTGAGTTTCCTTATCACCATTATCGGATGGCGATGCATGCCTTCCCCATTTGATAGCAATATTATGAACATCTGTTTCTAAGTTTATACTGTCTTTAGTTTTATCAATATTAATTTTCTTATCATTC